AGGGCAGCACCGAGCCCCAGGGTCTCTCTGCCCCACGAGCCTCCAGCCTCGCGTGTGGCTTTTTCTGGTTACCCCAAAGTGGGGTCAGACCCCCCAGAAACAGGGCACCCCCCGTCCCCTCCTACCTTGTAGGCTCTGATGAAGCGCAGGAACATGGGGAAGAAGGTGGTGGGGGGACTGGTCTTGGGGTTCTCCCCAAAGTACTCCACGGCTGACTCATATGCCTCCTGCAGGCAGAGACACCCCAATATGGGGGGCTGGGGCCAGACAGCAGCGCCCCATCCCCCACCACCTCCTTCCAGCCTCTCCCACCTCGCCATCCCCCTCCGTATTCCCCCTGGCTCCCAGCTCTCCTGCTGGAGCCATGTCCCAACCAGGAGCCTCTCCCATGGGGCAGAGGTGTGAGCAGAGGGCACCCTGGGGTGTCCCCATGTAGGAATGGGGGGACCAAATCCTGCCCCACGACCCCGTGCTACCCCCAGCACCCACCTTGGCGGTTTTGCTGTCAGCCTGAAGCTTCTCCATCACCTCCAAGTTGACCTTGAGGAAGTCCTTGAGCACGGGGCTGTCGTCCTGCCGCATGAACTCCTTGCGGGTCAGCTCCATCCCCTGCTGCAGGCTCCGCACGTCCTGCAACACGCTGTCCAGGGAGACTGCGGGGAGGGCGAGTAGCACCGGCGTCAGGGCAGGCTCGGAGGGCCCCTGCGCAGCGCCGGCCCCCCCCAGCCCGGTTCCCGCGGGCGCTACCTGTGCCCGCCTTGTCGAGGAAGTGCAGCTCGGTGTGGAAGCCGGTCAGCTCAGGGTACTTCTCCATGATCACCCGCACCAGGTAATGCAGCAGCGTTTGCTTGCGGTCCGTCGACTTCATCTCCAGGAGCTGGGAGAGAGCGGCGTCAGCCCAAACCCGCACCCCACCCCCCCACCTCACCCCTGCTCAGGGCAGGCTCTGGTGGCCCTCCAACCCCACGACTGGTTCCCATCTTCCTGCGTCCCCACGACCGGTCCTTGCATCCCTCCATCTTCCCATATCTGGTCTCTGCATCCTTCCAACCCCACGGCTAGTTCTTGTGTATCTCCATCCCTTTAGCTCCTCCCCATGCCTCTCCAACCCTATAGATGGTCTCTTCATCCCTCCATCCCCACAGCTGAATCCCGTGTCCCTCCATCCCTATAACTGGTCCTTGCACCCTTCCATCCCCACAGCAGATTCCCATGTCCCTCCATCTCTACAGCCGGTCCCTGTGTCCCTCCATC